CGAAGTGAGAGAACTAGTGGTGGAACAACCGCACCAGGCAACCATTAGAAATGAAGTTGGGCGTAGTGGTCGCCAGGTGGGCGGGGTGGCCGACTCTTCACGAGCGGGCGCCGCTACTCTCTCGCATTTTGAGTTGCGAAACTAGCACGTCCACCATCCTCATGGAGTGAGCTACGATATCCAAAGGGGGCGTGGAAACAACAAATAAACGCAGGCGCTGCCTTTGCAACGTTTCAGCGCGCAAGTCTCATGGTGAACCATGCTGTGGCAGACGCCAGGCTGGAATCACCCACACGTTCATATCTAAGGTTTAACATTCCATCTGAACATTCCATTCCAACAATCCATCATTCCTTATTCCTCCTCCTGTAAAGAGAATTCAGAAGTACTGAGCTAGAGTTTTCAAATACCATTCACCTTTCAAAAGGTGAAGTGCTTGGTATTGCTGGATTCCCGCGGATAGCTCGTTGTTTTATCTTTCGAGACCGTCAGCACTCCCAACTGGAAGGCGTGAACCAATGAATCACGAAGATGTCTTTAGCAATTTTTCTAGCTTCGTGGATCGATCCATTTTTGAAGATGAAGTGTCAAAGGACAACGGATAGAGCTACCGCATTGATCAATCTCTTTTCGTGATGTACCATACAAACCGCTCCGTATGGAACTTGCGCTTATTTATTTTTACTATCTTATTTGCTGCAAGCCCTCGCGCCTGACACCAAACTCAAATCAAAAACAGAGGTAAGCCAATAAGATTAACACATTTCTAAATTACAGTATCCAGTTACTGTAAAAAAATTACCCAAGTCGAGGCTGAAGAACCAAGGGTGACACTACTTAATCGTGCGAGCTTAATCTTGCGCATGGGCGAGATGGATAGGCAAGCAACTGCAGAACGATTCCACTTTGGCCAATCAGAAGTGCGTGGCACTGAAAGTGAGGGGGGGTGTTGTGATTGTTGTATGTCCTTTCGTGTTTCTGCCTGCAGGCAAAGTACACCGCAGACACGGAACACGCCACACGACCAACCTCACGTTTAGCCATAGCCAGACGCACCACTCAAAGGCAATTCTCGCGACTGCACGCGATATATAATACAGTTCGAAAATAGAACTGCCGCGTGAGCTAGTTGACTTGCTAAAGAAGAAGAAACCACGAAAAACCGCCCGCAATAAGACTCTTTTATTTCTATTGATCGTGATCACCGGAAAAGTATAAGATGGTCAAGATCAGTTGCGAATCTGCAAAAGTGTGAAGCGACACACTGACAAGATGAGAGCACCAGAAAACGTCGGAGCCAAGAGAGCAGGCCCCTGATCGGCAATGTCAACGAGACATTGGCGACAGGGGCGAGTAGGCCGCCATGGGCCTACGTCGCCCGTGTCATTGGCCGCTCATGAGCCTAAAACCTGAGCTTGCCATTTTCAACTTTTGAATGCAGTAGAGCCTTTGCGGTCGCCTACTGAGTCATCATGCCACACTTATGAGGTCTAGCCCTTAGTTCATCCGGACCGTGCCTTTGAACACCCCCTCACACCAAGCGCCATTTGTGCCTCTACAGCCTCTCTGCTGCGTTCTCGGGTCTCAGAATATCCCAAAACTGCAAAGCTTCTTTAATCGATCCTTCTCTTCCTTCCTTCCTTCGCTCTTCCTTATTTTGCTCCCTTCGAATGCTCCGGAAGAACGGAAGATAGGGTACCTCTAGATGTAGCAGCGAGAGAATCTGGTTGACAAAAAATCCAAGACTGACCGAAATTTGAGATGTGACACCCCGACCGTGCGCACAAAACATTCGGTGCCACCGCCCCTACATCAACCCACATTGCCAGAGCGACCTCTTTCCATGCAAACAATTCTCAGCGTTAACGGCCATTGAGAGAAGAGGCCAGTTGTTCACTTGCAGACACGAAGCTTCCAGCACATTCCCAGGCGCGAAACGAGCACTCAGTTGGCTGGAGTTCGGATCGCCAATTTTCAGCCGTCACGGTGGTTGAGACAGCACTAAGTAAGTGGCCTGTTGCGGCTTATGGCTGACGTCTGACACGAATCCGATCACGTCAAATGAAACATGAAACAAGCAATCGTTATGTCTATAAAGCAAGGTGGCCAAAAAGCCGCGAACGGATAGAGCATTGTTCGTCTGCACCGGCATGACGTTAGCGCCATTCCAGACAGGCAATTGGGCGCCAGAGTGACCACATTTGTGCAAGGAATGCCCATAAATCCACTGGAAAAAGCTTTGATGAGATGATTCTGGACAATTTGATCGTATCATGACCATAAAATGTCCTTGATGAGGGTCAGTGGCGACGTCTAAACAAGCTCTACAGGATTCACGCCGTTTACCCCTGTTTGCACAACACGGATTCCCAGACACGCTATAGCGCTGCGCTTCGAAGACAGTAGTCGCTTAAGTATCCAGGTCCGCACTAGTATAGAGTGTACCGCCTTTGACTCACAAAACGGTGGTGAGATAAACGGTCGACGCCCGGCTACTCTTGCTGACTTATATTCTTTTCGACTCGGGGCAAAAACAACGACTAACGGTGAATACGAAAATGTGTTCTGTTCTCTGCAGGTCGGTTAGAGCCGATTTTACACGCGCGTCAGGGAAAGCATTGCTTGTCAGACTCCTTTGCGAGCTTACGAAGTTGTTCGCCTCCTCTCCTGGATACGCCGGAAACAAGAGGCGTCGGCTAGCAGCCACCTTCGCAGAGCAAGCCACTGCTCAAATTGTTCGGCCCTACTGCTATAAATTCAGGACCAATGCATCGTATTTGGTGGTGTAAAAGCTCGAGTCAGTTTATTCTTATCGTAGTCGTGATTTTGTATGTCGCTTCGAAAGCTAATTTTCTATTTCAGCGTTCTGTACTTTACAGTTTTTCCTCTTCTGAACGCATGTGGAAAATGCCAAGAAATGATTTGAGGGTTGAGCCAGAGGTGCCCGGAAGCCGCGGGCGGGTCGTGTGTGCCCAAAAAAAAACAAATGGAAAAACTCGTTTACAATGGGGCACGTAAAGATTCTCAGAAGGGCGTTTATGTCGGTGGTTGCTGCCAAGTGTTTTTGTTTCTCTCTCATTAGCAACTGGAACGTCACTTATCGGTCACTGTGCACGGTTGCATTACCCATCATCTTTGGTCGCGAGTGGTTGCCTTGAAAAAAAAATCTCGAGGAGAGCGTATTTGGGGTCCCTGGACGTTTATGGGACCGTTCTCGCAGCGATGTCCCCCATCCTGGGACTTAAAGCGATACTGGAATTCGACAATAGAGGAAGTCACTCCTTTCAGGGTGTGGTTGAAGGAAAAGGCTAGTTTGACGGCCTGTCGGCGGTTGCCGAGCGACCGACTCTCCCCAACGTCATGTTGCATTCGATCCCTTGTTGCGCCAGATTTCCCATTATCGTTTCAGAGAGAAACCAGCTCCTTCTACGCAATGTTCTCACTTCCGCGAATAGACTGCTATATTCATAGCCCATCTCTCCTTCGCTTTCGCCCCAGACTTTTTGAACAAAAGCAAAGCCTAAACTGCTCGGGTGGAAGAATGTCTGAGTGGCTCTTAGGGCACATTGCCGCACGCTAATTTAGTTACTTGGGTCCTATTAAAGTGCTAGCAGGATGCCATTGGTGGCCCGAAATGTGCGAAGAAACCGAAGGTGAAACGTCAGAAAAGCTTTCGGAAAAAGCCTGTATCTCCGCGACTCAGAAAGCACTTTCGGACGAGTCTCCCGTAGGCATCGAGCCTATAACCGTTACGGTAGATATGCCTGCACGTGTGCACTCATACTCTGCTGTTATCCATGACCAGCCACCGCGGGCCGCGAAGCGAATAGCAGTCTAGCATCGGTCGCGACACAAGTGTGCGCAGGTCTTGCTCGCGGGCGCCAGCGCCGCTATGTTGGTCGCCACAAATAAATGTGAAACCACTCGCTCGAATCCCCGGAGTTGTCTTGCTCAGTTCGATGATCTGGAAGTAAAGGTTGGTTGACCTGAACAGGAGTCGATCCGGGATTTTGAACCCAGGAACGACCGAGTGGTGAGCGTGCCCCTTGTCACTACACCTAGTGCCTCTTATCACACCTTATCGGCTGTTATAATTCCTGTTACCCACTAGTAATGTTGCCGTAAAGCAAAATATGCTAAGTGAAAAGGCAAAAAGACAAAACAAGTGTTTGACATATTTATTGTGAAAACAAGAAAACTGAGCATCACATAGAGGTTGAAACCGCATCACATTCGCACACCATAAACAGTTGCGGAATCGCATTTAATTATGAGAAATCATTCAAAAAGGGTGCTGTAAAACAACGCACACCACACACACATATAAATTATACGTACACAAAATAAATATTAAAACCGATACTTGGATTGCACTCAATGTGTAGGCGTCGGTTGTTGAGCTACGGCTCAACCTTCAAGGCGCTTCTTCACCAGAGACGGACTACCTTTCGAACATTTCTCGCGCTCCAAAGCCTTCAGCCCTGTTCGAGCTTTCCTGTATCACAACAGTTTTGCTTTTATTTATATCTTGAAAGTTATTTCAAGGGATCATGTGTCATTATCCTGCTGGGATCCATATACATTTATCGATTTCAGGTTACCCGGCAGCAGCTAAGTCTCCTGAGACAGTTTTTTCCAGGAGCTCCCACTCCCATAGCTCCTTGTATGGGAATGGAGTCAGTGGATACTTCAAGAGCTACACTGAGGGTAAACTAATACAGTAGTGTGGCAAACGCGTAGCAAAACAGAAACATTGGCCTGTGATAAGAGCGCCTTATGATCAGCGAGTAGGGGTGGACATCTACTTGGTATGGGAGTGGTTTGGTGCTCGACGGAATCCTGGAATTTGAAATCCGAATAATACAGCAGAGGTAGCAGCGCAGCTCTCATTAACTAACTAATATGCATGAAATGTGTGGAGTGGTATGGATCACGAATAATTTCCATGGAAGAATTACGGCCAGAAAACGGTTATGAAAGCCCTGTTAAACCAGTCCCAACTACTTGTGCATAAAAATAAAAGAAATTAAGAAGAAGAATTGATAACGTACTTGAATGGTAATTCGTGCCGGAACTAATCGGAAGATAAACGTCGGATCAATGAACTGACAAGCGTAGTTAATCAGGTTTACGCACGAGATTCGCTCTTGCACAAGTCCTCCGCGACATTCGGATTCTTCGCTGAAATTGGAACAGTTTTCTCACCGGAACTCGTTAACATGGTTATAAATTACAAATACGGTACGATACAGTGTCCTTTTTTAATAGATAACAGCTGAATCAATTCCTGTGCGCTCTGTTACTACAGGGAATTCGTGATCCCATCGTTATGGTCATGAAGCACTAACTTTGATAGTAAATCAAAGTGAAGGATGAAGATGCTGGTGACAGGTGGGAAAAAATGAAACAAAGTCATTAAAGGGGGGAGGCAACCATATTTTATCAGACAGCCCCGCCCACAAGACAATGTATGTAGGTGAGCTTGTCTGGTAGAACAGAACTGTAGTGGATAAAGAATGCGCTCGATCCCTACGGCCCTGTTGCTATGGGTCATGCATACACCAGCACTGTCTCACTTCTTCAGCAATTGCAATCAGGCTAAGATCTGCATGTTGCATAAGCAAACAAAGACTATTCGCGAACTGTTGACGCACGCTTGGTTTTTCACGAATAACTTGCTCTCTGCGAGTGCCCCTTTCAAAATCTACTTAGATGTTCTTATTCCGATAAAGTTACATAAGGCATCAAAACTATCATAAAACCTCTAAAACTTAAAAAAGGCGACCAAATTCTTATGAGGAACGTCGCTTACCTCTTACTGAGCGCTATCTTGGCTAAGAGACCATCGACTTTATCCCAGTGGGTTGCTGTCTGCTTTCGTTCGCATTCAATGAGACGCTGTTGGACGAGACCGGCAAGCGCGACATCCTGAAATATCAACGAATTGAACCATACAATCACCCATCACGGCAATTCTGTTGAGCACAACGAATTTCAGAATTTCAAGTGAGCCTTCGGAAAGAAGTGAAATGTGGTACGTACTGGTAGTCTAAAAGTCATCTAGTACCGTGCTCCTTTTCAGTTAAGTTCAGCATGGGTATAAAGTTAATCGATTAGTCTCACAATTAGGTTTCATCTATATCAGAGTTAAGCAGGAAGCGTATGTGGCTTCCCAAACCAACTCTTTTGTTTGTAGGTAGGTCTCTGCCCTCTCTTTTGTGGCCTGGTGGCCGTCGACGCTTCTCATTACCTTCAGGATACAGAACGCGATTAAATGGCGTGAAGCCTGCAATGAACTGGAAAGATTGTAGTACCCTCGATATCTTTGTGGGGAAGACCGAAAGCCGTTATGCCTTTCCCATCGATAGATTGCTGCACCCGTTCTTCTCAAGTTTAAGAAGAGTGAGTAGAGGGTAGCGAGGTGGTGTTTCACTGCATTCGCCTATACGATCAGCTCATGAAAGTACCTGCAATCTGCCCTGCCTCAAAATTAGATAAGCCATCCAAGGGAGTAATCGCCACAGCCCTCGATTAATCGGTCTCCACATTGTAAAGTGCGCAAGAGCTTATTAAATGAATTTTCAGGTGGTATCGGTATGTCCACGAGATGATTACCAGTTACTGGCTGATAACCCGCAGTTGCCTTGCTCATATTAGCATATTCCATCTCTTCGAGAGGAACTGGATGACACTATAATCTGTAAGCGGTGATTCTAATAGCACTTAGCCCCTCACGCCTCAGTTTTTTGAGACTAGGAAACCTGGAAACTCCACATGCTTATATGAGGTAGCGCAACCATCGTCCCTTTCACGTCCTTTGTCCCAGCCCTCCACCCACCCACCTTCCCCCTCTTATCCCCTCAACTCTTGTTCCCAAACCCTTCTTCCCCACTCATGACGCACAACAAAGACTGGTCAAGCGGCGCGCATTTGCCCTTAAAGGCTCTGGTCCGCGATCAGGTATGGAAGTTTGCACATTATGCGTCTGAGGTAGTGTGGGCCGCGGCGAACAACCTTGTACAGGTTTCGCGGCAAAAAATTTAAAGACAGCCCCGCGCTCGAGTAGTACATGGTCGTCCTTCCTTGTGCAAGTAGTACAGCCCCCAAGCTAGAGACTGTCCCACTCTATTCGTCTGCACAGCGAGCGAGAGCGAGCTAGCCGCTGTAAGTTCTAGTTCTAACGCCGCCCTCAGTTGGACCGCCTTACTTGCTAGATGTTCTTCCGACGGAGGCCACTCAGTTGTTCTTAGTTGGGGCGGCGGGCATTGCTAATGCCCATGGATAATTCTGCTCCCCTTATTACAGTTTACTCATTGGAGGTATATACATTCAATTCAACTCATTTCGCGAGGTGAAACGCGTAAAAAAGCACGAGTGACGCAATTTTCGTGATGCAAAACCTCGACGCACAAAACGTGCGCTACCGTAATCCCAAATTCAGACACCGCGTTGATAAAATTCCTTTTTCCTTCCAAGAGTTTTTCCTCTGCGTTTTTGTTGTTTTCTTTTTGTATTCTTTTTTTTGCACTGGATGATATCAACTACTGCGAGATGTGATAGAGAGATTTGTGAGCTAGGGGTTGCACAGAGACCGCAGGGAGGGGAGCGATTTTGTTTATGTTGTTCTGGAGAACGCTTCTTGCCTGTTTTCTTCTTTGGGAGATTACTTATCAGCTGCTGTTTCATAATTGGAAAGCAGCTATCCATGAGACTTTTATCGCGGGAGCTGTCTTTAAGGGAGGGGCGCTATAGCGCAACATAGGTTCAGTGACGCCTCCTTTTTCCAGTGACTCCGCCTCCAACCCGCCTTTCAGTGAAAAACGAAGCTGCAGGACGAAAAAGCATGAAAATCGTCACTTGTACGGTCGTAGAGTTCTTATCGGGAATCAGCTGTGCGATGAGGGCGTAGTGTTGAAGATGTTCATTGGGCACGTACAAACTGGGATCGAAATGGGGTTCTATCTAGGGCAGGTGGCATGTTTTTTTTCTGCTTTCTTCTTCACTATCGAATTACTCAGCACATTGTCGTCTATATGCAAACTCTAGTCCACTATCTGTGATGACGAATGATCGCGGACTTTGCCCTAAAACCTCAAGCAAAATCTCGTTTGCCTTTTTTCGGAAAAAATTACGGTTGGTGTCGTCTCCAGCGGTATTTACAACGCCAATGTAAATAACAGTAATGAATAAGCAAGCCCTACCTTTCCAGTTTTCTGCAAGTAGAGCGGGAATTTTGCACTGAACTTCTCGGCGATTGCACTGAGGTTTTTCTGGCATGCTGAAACACTTGACAAATTTGCATTCGTCCCTTCCATCCATCTAATCCACCACAATAGCTCAACCAAAGGAGGCCACGCGTCACGCGTCAATCACTACAAAGGAGGACACGCCAGTGACGCACACTCATATATACCCCCAATATTCAAATCTGAACGATTTCGGAACATTGCTATGGGAACAGCCGGTGATTTGAGAAAGCGCTACGCAGCGCTCTTGTATGATCGTTATCGGACAGGAACCATATGGAAATCGAGTGCGGAAACGAGAGGTCTCCACAATGAGATCGCTAGGATTTGGCGTGAGAATGGCTAAAACTTGGTCTCCGGATCCAAAAAGGCAGATTTGATCGCTTAGAACTGCTTCTCGGAAATCCGAGATTCTTATCCGGTCCCCAGCTAGCAGTCCATAAAATCATTCAGGACCACTGTAAATGTTAGGCTTGACCCCTGTTAGCGAATGCACACCTATCCATGGAACACATGTTGTGGGTTCGAGTGCCGACTAAGCCAAACATTCCGCTAGTAACTCAGCACTTTTCCAGTAATTTCCCTTTGTGGCTCAGATGGCTGATGATGTGCACTTTTCGGTCGTTTCCATCGTCACCTTATTAATATGTGTGGGTGGAGTACAGTAGCAGCCTGTGATATTTTGCTTCAAGACGCGCCAACTATTCCACTCCCTCCTAGAACTGAATAGCGATCGCTCAAGAAAGTGACTTGCGGAGGAGGTGTGATATCCGTAGTAGTCACGCCCTCTAACTCCTCAGTTTATTTTGTACCGGTCGGCTTTTGCTGCTTGACCCAGTGTCCAAGCCTTTAAAAGCTTGTAGGGTGTCGGGTCAGAGCGTTGTCGTGTAGCGAGAAATGCTTCAATACTGTTCTTCTCCTTTTCTTAGTATGAGTCGTGTGCGCCATCCGGTGCTCGCAAAGAGGTCTCCTCTGCCCAAGCGTCCGAAAAAAAGTTAGCCGCTACGACGATGTGACGACGCACTCCGAAAACTGTGACACAGAAAAAAGGTGACAGGTGCAACCACTTGCGGAGGCTGGTTACCTCCGCGTATTAAACCGGCCTGGATGGAAGGCTAGCTGGGGCTGAAAGCATCGGGGGGTTGACCGCGTCGCCGTTAATGATGTAGTGCCGCTGCATCAATTGCCCACCAATCTACTATCAGCCTTAGGCCAAAAATCAAAAAAGGGTAGAGATTCCGCCGTTGCTTAGTCCTTTTTGGGATGCAGCACGTATGCTACTTCCATTCAAAATCGTAGTGGCATATTGAATACGATGTGCGCCTACTCATTGACAAACAGGGGCAGATGTCAGGCTGCGTTGCTTAGTTGTCCTGCCGACGATTTGCCCCTAGGAATGAAATCCTTCACCCGTCCTAAAGAGGGAACATGAGGGCTAGAGGAAGCCATGTCAGCCTGGGCGGGAGTCAATCTTATTAGATTTAATCCTCGCATCTGCGCGCATGGTAAGCGGGCCACTTGCCACCACAATACCTCCTCTTGTTGACCATAGCCAAGCGCAGACAGTCCGGAGCAAGAACTTCTCCAGCCGCCGATCCGCTTGCCTAGGCATCATAACCTCAAATTGCCCATTCAAATTTTGATGAAATTTGCGCATGAATTTGCCCCTTGCAATCGGTCGCGGAGGCAAGGAGATGTTGGAACAGGGCACGTCCACCGTTGGGTAAAAATTTTTGTTAAATGCGTACTTCCCATAAATTGCCTGGAGTATGGCACAATCCAGCAACACGTATACCTTCGGTCTTCGGCAGGCATTCCCAACGCACGACGTGTCCTGCCTGGCTCGAATCAACTAGAGCTGGTTCTGATGGAGATTTGAGGAGAATGGGCCCCATTGTTTGAAGACCATGCAAATAATAGTCTGGCGGCCCTCGGGGACCTGCTACAGGTCAGTGTTCTTTTGCACAACACCTGCCGGCTCAACACCGACTTACAAAGGCCATAATTCAATGATTCGATCTACTATCAGATGCCGAAAGCAGCCCATGTTGGCCCTGGTATGGCTGGATGGGAACTTACTTCACGTATTCTTGACCTGCGGTGCCAACTGCATACATTTCCAGAAAAAGGCAATTACCCAGCCATAAACCGCATTACCTAAACCATAACCTGTAAGCACAGCGGTGCTCTCGACTACTGTAACAATAGTCAAGTGGGGAATGTAACGCGGCTCCGTATCCAGGAGGAAGTATGCGCGATCTAAACAGCCAAATTATAAGGGCTGAACAACCGCGCTTTTCTCGCCTATACGCACAGTTGAAAGCATCAAAACCAGGGAGTTCAATCACAAGTTTAGTAGAATGGTTACTACACCGATAGGACCTGAACTAGGTCGAGGAGCAGCAGTGCATCGTTTTTGGGTGACAGAGGCGAGCAAAATGATGAAAACTTTCTAGATTTCATTGGCTCAACCAGTCCCAGCCAGGAGTTATGGTGCCCAATCCAACATTCATAAAAAGTGGATTTCCAATAGGAGGAGTTCGCTGCTGAGTCACTCAATAACGAGGGAAGCATTGAAAGCGATCGATGCGGTGACTTTTGGACTGCTGGAACCCCTTGATATTCTCGTTTCGGCCTCGATTGATGATTGCTACAGCAAAAATCCCCTAGATGCGATGTAGAGAAAACCCGTCTCACTCGACGGGTTATCTGGGTTGCAAAGAGCGATTCATAGGGAAGTAGACGGCGATTAAACGTCTTCACAAATCAAACGTCATACAAAAAAAAGGAAAGGGTTGCGAGCTCCTTCCGACACCCGTAAACATGGCATAAAAGAAGACCTTGAAACTGACCACTTATGTCGAAATCGTCCTTGAACCAGAGTGTACCGCGATTCGGCGTTGAACTTGACACCTTCTCCACTTGCCCTCCATCTAGCGCCTCAGCGTTCTGAAATTGACGTCGTGAGTTGGATATTCTAGAAAAACGAAAGAAAAAGTCAAAGCTTCGAGTGGATCAATCCCAAACGTGCCACGAAGTCCAATTTTACTGAAACTCGTGGAGATATTTGAGTGCATATTCCAGTTACGCAAAACTCATCCCTGGTTGCTACAAGGCCACTTTGCCATTATATGTCGCTACGGTTCTGAACAAAGGTAAAATGCGTGGCGTATACCAAAAAGGGTTGGTCGACGTCGAATGCTTTATCTCTACCCGTTCTGGAACGCGTGGAGGTGACCCGATGTTTGCTTTGGTATTTAATCGGCTTGTTGGGTTCAAGGAAAGCTATTCAACGAAGCTTGTGCAGGCCACCTTGTAAACTTGTGGAATACTGCCGCTAGAGAGGCTCAAATGTACCACTTACAAGATCTTTACAGGTTTTGCCAAGGCGGGAGTTAGCATGAAATAGAAAAAGGAACTAGCGAAAATGCAAAATGTCCCCCCCCCCAAGCCGAATAGGGCCAGGTATTCCAACTTTGTGTAGAAGATGTGCTATCTTGAGGGATGTAGGAGGTTCAGTTGGCCCCGACAGACCTCAACTGCAGGTTCCCTCATGTTCCCGCTATCCAAACCATGACAAAGGTGGGCGAAATCTTGGCAAGAACTTCTTGGTAACATAGCTGCTTCGGAAATGTCCCCGCTTCAGACGGCCCCCCTTTGTGGGCAAGTCAAATTTAATGAACGACAAAAATGGCCTAGATGGACCAGGATTTGAACTCGTGGCCTCCACATCAAAGACATAAATTGCACTAAGAAAACCTGTTCGTTAGTGACAATTTATGCCTTTGATTTATGCCTCGAAACGCACATCGATCTGGTTGGTCTTTGGTCACCCCGTGCCCATGAGCTGTCTACGGATGTTGGTTTTTATGAAACGGAACCATTTCTTCATCTCGCTTTTCGCGTAGAATTCTTCTCATTAGAGAATACTTCAAAAGAACCTGAAAGTTTTTCTCTACGCTGGTAGCACGGGCGGAGCCGGGTCAGCCATGTTGCCTTTCTCTTGACGTACGCCCTCCCTTTTAATACCTTCAGGAAGCTGGAGGGGGCATAGAAAAAAAAACACAGCGGTAGGCGACGAGCTCGGTCATACGACCACGGTAGAATGCCCTTTACAAGAGCTGTTACTTCATGGTATGGTTTTCTCGGCGCAGCTCGGCGACGAAGGGCATTTTGCACTTTCACTGCTTTACATCTTCCGGTTTACAAGTCTCACTCTGGTGAAACTTGTGAAAACTCACGTGAAGCTGGAGCAAGCTCGTCTTGTCAACTTCGGTAAGAGTGATCACACTCAAGAAAAGGCTATTCTAGCTGAGTCGACACATCCGATGGAAAGCGCATACAACCCCAGCCCCCTCCCTCCGTAGCCGAACTGCGAACGCTTTTCCCTTAAGCATCCAAGGCATAGGAATGAAAACCACTGACCCGGCATTAATCGACAAAAGTCAGATTTGAGGCAAATGCTATAGCAAACTGCTCGGAGAAGACTCACTTCTCAGGAAGTACGGGCGCTGAAAAGCGCTGCTCTTCTTGCACCTGTATTCAGCATATGATATGACTGTACCTCTCATGATTGCATATGGACTTGAAAAGGAAGAAGATAGGAAACTAGTCAAATACACACTGCACAGGTTGACGAGGAGACAGGATCGGAGGTAGCTGAGAGGAAGGAAGAGTAGGTGAGTGCGACAGTAACTGAGAGCCTCAGGCGACAACGACCTGCAACAGTTTAACGTGTATGACACATACATTCTGGATCGTGTTGGTTCATACACAAATTTATTGATGGCTGAATTAAATCACAGTGAAGAAAAAAGTGGGATGTGAACGCCCAAAACCCTTGGAGTGAGGGCTCCTTGGTTTCGAGTACTGGGAGAGCATGAGAGGTAGAGAAACTGGCTGTGCAAGAAAGCGGGTAAAATGGCCGGCTAGAGAGTACACAAGCATGGTAGCATACCCAAGCGGGCAGTACGTCGGTCTGGACCTTATAGGCGCAATGATAGGTTTGCAGCGCGTCCTCACCGTTTCTAGGTCGCAAAAGGGCACATTCTTGCTGGTTATTCGCAATAATTTGCCCTTTCTGTGAGCGCAATGAAGGATTTTTTCTGAAGTGACCCTCCGAGAAAGCTCCCATAATGAGACCGATGTGGGGTACCATTCCATAACTATCGCTACTTAGGTTTCTTCAACAAATCTATCTATCATATCATTTATTCTTAATTTCTTAGGCACAGTGATCGTCCCTACAAATGATAGGACGTGTGCCGCGGAGCGTGGCCGAGGCGCCCTTTTTTCCACCATTGATGTCATCCTGAGCCCGCTACAACTGGTGAAGAATCTGATCTGGCTGCGCTTCTAGCTCACCTTCTAACCTCTATACTTTTTCTTGGTAGCACAGGAAGATTTTCCAGAGATTTCTGGTCCTAGCATCTGCCCAGGCGCCACACTACAGGTCAGGAGATCCACATTGCGATGACGTGGCGGGACCTGCGTTGCAAGCGGCGCCACGTGACCTTATTTCGTACCAAGACCAACTGTCTCAACACAAGCCTCAAAAAGAACCCAGCAAGTTTCGTCGCAAAGTGGATCTTTTTCCTGGCTCACGTCTCCTCCATCCCCAATCTTCGGCGTACTAAACGGTGCCGTGGCTTACCAATATTATGTTGGTGGAAAGGAGATCATAAAGAGGTTTCTGAAACCCCATGCCATCACTGTTCGGGACTTTTGTCGAATGTCCTGGAAGAAATCAGGAATGCTCCGGTCACGCCATCGCCGAAAAACCCTCATGAAACAGTGTCGAGGACCCAAACTGAAAGCGAACCATTAAGGCGATTAGATCAGATTTGTCCTAAGGATTTTGCCGGTCTATATGTGAGCGAAGATGAAACTGCATGATTATCCACGGGACTTGGTGGATGCATTGTCTAGAAACAACATTGTTGCAGATAAATTAGGCCAAGAATAACCAGTGCATAATCCGAAAGGCCAATGTTCATATTTGGAAGAAAGTTAAACGCATGGTGCAGACAGCAAGGGTCCAATGTTTAGGACGTCCGGCTCAGTTCGGCTTGACGTGGGCAGATACTCAGGGAAGCCCGTATAGGCCAGCTTGCGAAATCTTTAAACCAAAGCGGCTTAGTTGACTAATAGAGCGACTAATAGAGCCAATGTGAGGCCGGCTACGTACGAAGTGGCAAAAGGAAGTAGCGGGAGCACAAATGGCCCCTCCCAAACCGAACAGCGCCAACTTCTCTTTCTTTACACGCTAACTCTTTTTTGTTATAAAGAGTCCAGGACAAAGAGAACACGTGCCACCAAAGCGGATAGATATCGATATCGGATTTCCGCCACCGATTAGTTAACTCACGATGCCCCTTCCAGTACGTTCTGATCTCCGATTTCGCTTGCGCACTTGAGTTCTATTTCGTAATCTTTTCGTAAATCCGGTTTTTAGAGTTTTTCGTAAATCCGGCTTTTACTAACCTTCCGCAAATGGACTGCCTTCGAGAAAAGACGGTTGCCTTCCGTAATCTCGACGCATAAGCGCTCGAAAAACGATCTAAACGGCGCCCCAAACGGCGCTATGCTGCTTGTAGTTTCAAAGATAATGGGTTTCACCCATCGGGCACTTAATCGAGTGACGTCATGATGCCAGAGTATCCTGCCATAGGGTGGGACAAGCGCTGAAGAGTAGGGTGACGAAGAAGAGGGTAGAAAATGACCACAACTATGACTTCGGCTTGTTCCTTTCAACGCTAAGCGATTCCTTTGGTGGTTCGTGTACATACATTGCCGATGACATACACTCTTTCCAGATGAATCTAGAAAACTTCACCAGTGCAGTATCCAAAAGCATCAGGACGATCGTCAGCAAGGTGATCCGACAAATTCTCCGAAATATTAAAAAGGTCACAAAGAATTGCGCGGAAAGTAGCGCGGTTGTAAGGAACTGTGAGCCCATGGAGAGCATCAAAGTGCCCAAGTAAACGACAAAAATTAAAGCCCCGGATAAAGTTCAGTTAGCGGCCAAAGTGGCAGTCGTTGTGATTACTTAATAAGTTGGCGCTCATCAAAAATTTGCCAAATATTTCCTGCAATTAAAAGCTCAACAAGAACTGAACAAGTTAGAAAGTAGGACAAATAAGACCAATCAATAAATACTTCAAAAACTAACTACCTGCTCAAATCGGCGCTGAGGTACTCCCTGTTGTTGATTTGTTGATACAGGCTTTGTGAATTGTTGAGGTCGGGCATCGATCGACTGTTGGAGCTGCAACTGCTGTTGTTGTGGTGGTGGCTGAACGATCGGACGATGTTGTGGGCCTTCTGTGCGTTGTAGTAGTTGTTGCCGCGACAGCTGACTTTGCTGAACTCCTTGCTGCTGTGGAAAGTGCTGGTGTTGCTGGAATTGTTGTTGTGGGAAGACCTGTTGGGGTTGATTTCCTTGATTAGGTTGTTGCTGCTGCTGTTGTGGGGGTCCCTGTTGTTGTGGGAGTCCTTGTTGTTGAAACAGAGGATGTTGTGGAAGTTGGTGCTGGTGAAAAAAAGGCTGTTGCGAGACTTGTTGTTGTTGAACTTGTTGCTGCTGGTTTTGATTCTGTCCCTGTAGCTGTCCCTGCTGACTGAACTGCGACTCGCCGAAGGTGTGGTGATACTGCGCCGGTGGAACCTGCTGTTGTGGAGGGTACTGGGCACCAAACTGTTGCTGCTGCTGATTTTGTATCTGTTGCTGCTGGACTTGTTGCGTTTGCTGGAACTGTTGCTGCTGGCCAAATTGTGGCTGCTGGACTTGCTGCGTTTGCTGGAACTGTTGTTGTTGGCCGAATTGTGGCTGCTGTAGCTGACCATACTGCTGTTGCTGTTGTTGGCCAGTCGGCTGTGGGAATTGATGATGCGGTGGGAAGAGGGGATGTTGAGGAGGCTGTTGAACCTGTGGTTGATTGGGTTGTTGAGGTAGACCGCTGAATTGTGGCTGCACCGTGGGAGTCTGTGGAACCTGGGCTTGGGTTCCAATCTGTTGAAAACCTTGATTTGGCTGAGGAGCTTGTCCTGTTTGAGGCTGCAAGGGCTCTTGAGAAGATTGAGGGCCAAACGGTGGAGGAGCTGCCGTGTATGGCGCAAACGTTGGATGTGTTGGAAAAGTGAATGGCGCAAAAGTGGGATGAGTAGGGAACGTGAATGGGGCCATAGTAGGATGTGTCGGCAGGACGAATGGTGGTGGCGGTGGAGTGGGAGCACCCGGTAGAGTGAATGGTGCAATGGTGGGATGAGTAGGTAGTGTAAATGGAGGATGGGTTGGAAAAGTGAATGTAGGGAATGCCGGATGTGTTGGAAGAGTAAATGGAGCCGGAGTAGCCGGCTGAGGTGGTGGCTGAAGGGGCTGGACCGGAGGTGGTTGAGGAACAGTTGGCAGCGTCGGTTGCACTTGCGGCAGATTCAACGCGGCCTTGTTGATCTTCTTCGGCTTCAAGGGATCCTGAACCTTTTGTGTGGGAGCATCATCGAGTTGAGAAAGTACTGCATAGTCTTCCGATGGAAGTTCGGCCGGAATGTCAAATACCGTCGATTGAAAAGTCTGCCCCGGTTGAGCGACGACATAGGCAGAGAATATAACCACAACGACAACGACCGCGCGCTGCACCATAGCTGGCCGAACGGAGGAGATGAGCGCCGCCTGGATTCCGAGAGATGACCACACCGCCCCACAGACGAAACCCGTTTCGGAGCGTCGCCTCTGTTCCCCTCGGCCCCATCCACGCACTTTTATCCCGTCTGCGGTGGTCGCTCGCAAAGTTAAAAAAGTCTCACTCATTTCGCATCATTTCTTCAACTAGTAGTCTTACTTGGAAAAGCTGGTTCGGGCCGTGTACAACACATTTAGAATGACCACTTATGGGATGATGAATAACATGAATGTCCTCGTTCCGACCAGAACAGTAAAGTCAGTAGAGGAGGCAATTAGGATCACAAAGTTCAAAGAGTACAGTATTAGAAAGAGTTGCGCATGAGGGGATCTAGGGCAAGAAACGTAAACGAATAGATCGCTTAGCTTGACCCTCACACGATTGCCTCTTCCAAACCGCTCTGACATACAGTGCAACTTTACTGACCTCCTTATCACCCTTTGATTGAATCCTAGAAAAAAAGCTGGTATAGGGGAGGGAGGGAGAAGTTAGGGTATAAAGCCAGACAAGCTAACAACTTGCATTCACTTCCGAAGATCTCCTACTCATATGTGTGCAGAGTCCTCAACCAAGCAAATACGACTCCTTTTCTACCCAGTCCACTGCGACGCTGCTTGTTGAGCATTTTCGAACCACGCCGCGCCGTGGTTCAAGAGCAGTTTATTGAGTCTCTTTTGGTATTAGTGATCAGTAACTAATGATTTATTGACGACAAGTCGGATCGCCCGGCTGTCGCCGGGCGCTCCTCCTTCTGTGACATGGCCCGGCTTCGCCGGGCCATGCGGATTTGCCGCGTGCTAAGTTAAGGATCGTTGACCAACCACACTGTTCAAAGGAATCTTCTGCATCAGCCAAGAACTGAAAAGCAGCGCTTGTTCCGTCAAGCAGCAGCAGCGCCCCCCCCCCCCCCGCATCACAGAAGGAGGAAAGCCGGCCTTAGCCAACGATCCGACTGCTACGTTCATGAACCTAACACGGAAATAGTGCAGCCTGTTTGGACAGCCACTGAAGCAGCCTATAATTTATGCAATCTGTCTTCCTAAAGCGTCTTGCTTTGGAATGCACTACCGCATTCAGCAGTGGAACCCTTTAAATGGCCCTCACTGAAGTTGCTGATGGAAGATAATTGTGGTAAGAGTGATAAAGTCAGTTGCTGCTGTTCATAACATCTCTGTAAACAAACCACATGCATTTGGAATAGAGCTGGCTTAGCGGTCGTACACGATGTCGTTACTAATAAGCAGTGAGGAATGAGTTCTGTTGGAATCACTGAGATCGTTTATACTTGAGTCATATCGATCGCATTGTTGTTGTGAGCGGTGAAGCGGATTTTCCCTGTTACCTTGTCAATTTTAGCTCCTATCACTTCCGTACCCGCCAATAACACTCCCGTCCCGTATCACTATCATATCACCCTGTATCGCCTCTCGGATCAGAGGTCCCACTGTTGCTGTAACCTGCGTTACGAATCTGATGACCCTCCCCTTCCGAGGCCGCTTACCGTATCTTATCAACTGTTATCACTTTCTGTCGCCCGCCAATAATGTTCCCGTCCCACACCCTATATCACCTCACGGATCTGAGTTCCCACTGTTGCTGTAACCTGCGCCACGAATTTGATGACCCTCCTCTTCCGAGGCCCTTATCGGATCTTATCAACTGTTATCAGCTTCTGCCAGCCCCACCCTACGGCATATCAGTACTTGAAATCATGGTCCCGCCGTTGCTGCAACTTGCCACGAATTCGGTCACCCTCCCCTTTTAAGGCCCCTTATCGAATCTTATCAAGTGTTATCACCTCCTGTCACCCACAAAAAGTGTTCCCGTCCTGCCATGTATATCACTCCTTGAAATCACGGTCCCGCAGCTGCTGCAACTTGCGCTACGATTTCGGTCACCCCCCCCCCTTCTAAGGCCCCTTATCGAATCTTATCAGTGTCAATCACACCCTCCTGTCACAATACCACAAAAGTGTTCCCGTCACCTGCCTATGTATATCTACTCCTTTGAAAATCAAGTCCCAGCAGCTGCTGCCATTTGCGCTATATGTTGTGTCACCCCCCTTCTAAGGCCCCTTATCGAATCTTATCAAGTGTCATCACTCCTGTCATCCCATCAAAAGTGTTCCCGTCCTGCCATGTATATCACTCCTTGAAATCAGGTCCTCGCAGCTGTCTCGTGCAAACTTGTCGCTATGCGATTTCGAATCACTACCCCCCTCCTCTCCTAAGGCCCCTTATCGAATCTTATCAAGTGTCATCACCTCCTGTCATCCCATCAAAAGTGTTCCCGTCCTGCCATGTATAATCACTCCTTGAAATCACGGTCCCGCAGCTGCTGCATTTTGCGCTATATGTTGGTCACCGGCCCAAACCTTCTGAAGGCGCCTTATGAATCATTATAAAGTGTTATCACCTCCTGTTCCCCATGCCAAAAAGTGATTCCCGTCCTGCCATGTATATCACTCCTTGAGATCAAGGTCCCGCAGCTGCTGCAACTTGCGCTACGATTTCGATCACCCCCTCCTCTCCTAAGGCCCCTTATCGAATCTTTATCAAGGTGTCACCACCTCTGTCCACCCATACAAAAGGTTCGCGTCTCTGCCTGTATATTAACTCTTGAACCACCCGGTCCCACACCTTGCTTGCGAACTTACGCTACGAAATTCAGTAACCCACCCCTTCTAGCCCTTGTATCGCTATCTTATCAAGTATCACCTCCTGACACCCACCAAAAGTGTTCCCGTCCTGCCATGTATATCACTTCTTGGAACTGTCATCCTATCTTTTCTGCGACGCTCGCTATGAATTTCGTGACACACAAACAAACACACACAACACAGACACACACAAGACGACACATAGCGGATTAATATTATAGGATTAAAAACCACAAACAAGAGTGGTAACAAAAAACGGGGAATTTCGGAGGCGGAGGGGGACGGGGGGCATTTTGCATTACTGCTACGACAGCGACATTGTCGACCCAAATTTCCGAGAGCCTTTTCGCTGGTTGTACAGGTTTTACCATGGTCGCTTGACGAGCCTCGTTCAACCTTCGCAGCAGTAGTTTACACGTTTCACCAGAGTGAGACTTATAAACCAGAACTAGTAAAGCAACGAAAGTGCAAAATGCCCCCCCCCCTACCCCACGTCGGCCGAAGTGCCGCTCAAGAAACAGTAAATACTAGTCTACGATACCATGAAGATAGTCGAGTTGGGGACGGCATTCATGAGAGTGGACCGCTTGCCCTGCAGAGCAGTGCTCGATTATTTCAAGCTAATATAAACGGAATCCTTCAAGGAGCTCCTGGTAGCAGCTTAGAGGCACCATTCTTTTAGAGCTGGAGCGATGTGGCGACAAATGGTACCACACACATACTGACAAAGGATCAAACCCCACCTCTACACCTCGACGGTTCGGTCCCATACGCAGCTCTCACATTCGCGAGATCAGCTGTTTGGTAATAGAAGTTGTGCGGACTTCCACACCAAATCCCCTGCAATTTCTCGTACAGTGCGAATCGCATTCAGAAACTACTACGACTTGTAAAGGAGAAGATGCGTAGCGCACCCTGAAGAAGGACTGGTCAGCACAGAACACCTTGACTTTTATATGTTGACGTTTTTTTCGTCATCATTTATTGGTTGAAATACTAATCTGGGATATAATAACTGCCTATATTATAAAGAGGTGTCGCTATAGGTGAAGTCAGAATTTCTTAGTTTCCTGAACAAAACTCTCATCCTATCTCAGGGCGACAAGAGAGATGACTGGCGAAGCAACCTAAAGTCTTATTCATCCGAAACATAGAAGTGAAAAGGCAGTTGGCACGATAAATCTCCAACCGACGAGTAGGATAATATGCGCGCTGCATAACGGAATCTCCAGCGCACCCTCCTCAGGCAGGCCGCTCGCATAGCGCCCTTGCCCAAGGAAGGTGCCCTTATAAGGGCTCTATCAAGCCACAACATTACTTCCCAAACACCCCGAGCCCACTCGCCCACAAATGGACGACCGTTCCTAACATGATATTGATTCATTCGCTGAGCAAATTATGAAGCGAAGGGATTTGTATGAAGCACCCGCTGAGCTGCACTGGCATATATGAAGTACCATATGGCAGCCTACCATTCGCTAAGCGGTTATTGCAGGGTGCCTACGGGACAACTCGTCCAAACTGATTTTCTGAATCAACTGATACGGGGGCTTTTCTCACGCAGGAATTTGACCGTTTTATCCGTTGTTTCGCCATTCCACCACTGAGCGCCCTACTAGGATCAGGCGATACCAAAGTATGTGCCAACACGCCTCTAGTGCCAGCTGCTGCCCTCCCATTTTTGCAATCTTGACCAGTATGGCTCTAAAACTCCGAACTCTATTCGGTCAACTAGCTAAAGGCACAATTCGGCGATCAGGTCATGCCCTGGGGGGAAAAATATTGGCAAAATGCAAGCCTGAGCAGGGAGAAGAGGATAGGGCAGGATGGGTATGTGCAGCACACGCGAACGGGAAAAGCCGAAAGTAATTAAAAACTAAACTTTCCTTAGGAGTAGCTACGACCCTCTGCCCTTCAGCAGACAAATGCGACCTCCTTTTAGTACTTTCCAGTGTACTACGGGCCATGTCGATGGGGAACTTAGCCAGTGGTGTTTAGATATGGAAGAGAATTTGTTGAGAAACTTGTCCGTGAAGATCATATACGGAAGCGAAAATGCCTCTCCTAAGGCCCTTTTGGCTTTCAGCAATCGCGGGAATGCGAATGCTAAAAAGAGCGTCTTTAGCTCTTTTTTAGCGGTGAGCCGTACGAATACACAAGGACAAGGAACTTCACACCATGCTACCCTTCCTGTAGCATGGTTTTTCGCTGGGAGGTCGACTTTGATGGAGTCTGGAGGCGGAGTCACTGTCAAAAAGGAGGGGCCACTGAGGCATTCAGCGCCTTTACGCTACAAGTTTTCAGCGAAGAAAATGCTGCAGATTGATTATTGGAAACCAAGTTTCTTTGACAGAGCCCCATTAAGTGTATCAAGCATTTCTGGGACTTGTGCTCGCTAGGTGTATGTCCAGGTGTCAATTCCCCCAAGTGCTTGACTTGGCTGTATGTAAGCGGTGAATATGACAGATC